TTTGCTTTTACTTTGAAAGGTCCGGGCCAGCTTTACCGTATTCCATGATGTAAGTGTGACCTAAAAACCCAACGAGGGCTGGCTGGCTTGACTTCAGTTTTAAAATGTCCCTAACGGCCGATTATCCTAATTTCGCTCAAAGGAGGCCGTGTTATGATTAATATTCAGTCGGAATGTATTTAGTCAAGCTCAGAACAGTTGTAGAGATGCTGATAGACGATTTACTTAGGAAACATGCATTGCGGAACTAAACAGAACAGAAAAATCTTCAACTTTACCAAACGCCGAGGACGTAAACCTACTACAAAAAATACAGTTGATGTTCAAATGTTACACTGAGACAATATTAATATCTAATACACTGATTAAAACTCCTTACTTGTCCATTGCAGCAATGTCGCGTTAGGCTCCTTCCTCTCCTGTTTATTTTGGTGTGGCTGAACACTGGCGGTTATGTGAAACAGCGCCTCCCTTCGGTCAAAGGAGCGCTACCTATTAAAGACCAGTAACGGTGTATAAGGTACATTACGGTAACAGAGCAGCTCGGGAGCCATTACTTCTGACAAAAGCTTAGAAATTAAGAGGATAACAGAAAATTAATCTTAGGAACAATTTTTATTCATGAGAAAATTACAACTCTCTATGGAAGCCCGTTTCCGCCACATAAAAGTACATAATGCCAAATAGAAATTCATAACTATGAGATTCAAAAGTCATAATTATGATATTCGATTTTGAAATGTTGTATAACATAGTCATTATTTTGAAAGTCGAAAATGTGACTTTGAATCTTATCATTATGACTTTTTTTTTTTACTTTCATGTGGTGGAAACAGGCTTCCATATCTTTCATGTTCATGTTTATAAAAAATTTAAAAAATTTAAAAAAGAGAGATAAAAGAAAGGCATTTTTAATGTAGAATTTATTTGAGAAGTAACAGGGAAAATCCCCTAAATCTTAACCGTTGTACAGAGGCGTAGCCAGAAAATTTTTATAAGGGTGGCCAGGCAATAACCAATGTACACTTAGGGGGGGTCGAAAGGGGACAGGCACCAGAACCTCAGGGTCAATCTACACTGTTCCAACAGAAAAATGAACAAGCAAAAATCCCATATTTTCTAAATATATAATATAATAAAGACAAGCTATACTTTCCTACAGCCTTTGCTAACAAATAGATGCATATATTTAAACTTCTGTAATTTCTAGATAATAGGTACAGTGGATAAAACTCTTTCAGTTTTGAGTTTTGGGGCGTAAATCTTTTCCAATGCCAAAACTTGTATCAGTAAACATTCTGCATAAAATTAATATTTACAAGCACTAATATCTACATACATTAATTTTTTTTATAAGTTTTTATTAAAATTGTTATTTATCTTTAATTTCACTTAAGACTCCCAGATGAATTGCAATGACACATGATTTTCTCTTTACCCCATATAACAGCAGATCTAGTTCTGAACAGAGCATGCATACTTATCATCTTTGATGTTTATATATTGATGTTTATAACTAACCACAAAAAGATAAAATGTTTTGAATATTTCACTTGACAGTATTACTGCTGCCACCATCTGTATTAGAGGGGGAAAAATGGTAGGGGTGGCAAATGATTGGCTTAGGGTGGCCATTGCCCCTGGCCCCCCATCTAGCTCCACCCCTGCCGTTGTGTACTTTTTTGTCACTATCGATATTTTTTTTATCCAAAATCACAAGAGGTGACACAATGTCTTTAGAGATTGTAAGTGGTTTATCTATACTTTAACAAGAATGGATATTTCAGAATTCTACTGTAAATGTCCAGAAAAAAACTCTAAAGTTCTTATTCAGGATATGCTTTTGTCCCGTTTTCAGGGATTTATTTCTCCAGCATACTAACAGGTGACAGAACGCTCTCTTCAGATTTTATAAGAATATATGAAGTTATAAAATATTTAATGATTTTACCACAGAGTTTTAGAAATGTAAAAACTCAAAGTACCTCATAATTACAGATATCCTTTTTCTCCCTTTTTTATTAATTTAATTTATAAGAATCATGAGAAGTGGTGACACACTTTCTTCAGATTATGTTAGAGGATCATTTATATCAGAAACACAAGTCCACCAAAGTAAGAAATCCATAAGGTCATTTGATGTGTTAAGTAAGGCACAGAACCAAAGAGCCAATCGTGCCTCTAAACTGGGAGAAGTTAAATTTCCAATTAATTTACTTAAATTGTTCAAGTTGAAAATTTGTATTTCTGTGTTGAAACTGTTCATTACAGTTGTCCTAAAATTATAATTCCCTTGCCATGGAAAAAAAGCAACTGAAACCATTTGATAATGGGCACTTCTGAGTCTGATAAATGTCTCTAAAAGCAAAATAAAAAAAACAACTAAGACACTTAAATTTGTTAAAGAACAGTTATAGATTATGTGAGGGATTATTATTGTTGTATTACCTACAGCACCTTAATATCATTGAGATATTAGTCCTGTTCCTATGGTCTATAAATATAATGTTGGGTCTGTATGCTGGCGAAGATTCTCATCCAGATCATAGTCATTCCAAAAAAACAAAAAGAAAACAAAAACAAAAAAAACACTGGACTTTGTTTTCCAAGTATAAAAACGTTTCGGGAAGCGAAACATCGTCAAACTTGAAAAACAAAGTCCAGTGGTTTGTTTTTTGAACTTTATTGGAATTAAATGTTAAGTCTTACAAAAGGATTCCGTTTGTAATCTTTTGAATAAAATTAAAGATATTATTTTGAATATAATTTTAATGTATATTGATGGTTCAGGAAAAAACACACATTTTACATAATTTAAATGAAAATGATCATTTTTGATTAATTCATAATCAGAAATTGAGTAAAACAGATTAAACCCAAGTTAAACAGAACTGTGAAGTAAAACAAATGGGTGCACTTGACCAATCAGTTACAATGCCTGCAGCAGTGTATGTCATCAAGATTAAAACAGGGGTCCTAACAGAGGCCAGGACCAGTTCTACAGGGGCTCTGGCCCCTGTTGGCCCCTGTCTAGAACCACTAATGTGCCCAAATGTAATTAAACCCTTGAGGGCTCTTATTGCTAATTTGCAACAAACCCTTTGTATTATGTTCACAGCCAAGGAAGCATGTGGATTAACATGTGGAATCCCCTAATGCCAGTTATTACACCATATGCACATAGGAACCTTTGTCAAACTCTTGTTTCTGTTATGTCTGGCCACTTTGAATCAAACAATCGTGTGTAAACAGAGCATTTTATTTCTGCTTAGATACTTTTAGAGCATTTAATTTTGTGTTATTCCAATAGAAGTTGAGAAAGAGATATTTTTGACTTGACACTGAACTGTGTTAGTATTTCTTTCTTTACCAGATGCAATAAGCTTTGAAAAAAAAAAAAAAACTACTTATTTGTCCAGCTGTGGAAACCTTTTTTTTTTGTTTCAGCTGTTATAACAGTGGTGTAACAGAAAACGTTAACATCTCCCAATTGGCTAAATTATAAGCAATGCAGAATTGTGGGCATTTTTTTTTACAAATGCAATTCTGATTAAAAACCCAATATATCTAAAACTATTCCCCATGCACAAATCATCATTCTTTAAAATGGTTTTGAATGTGATGTCCTCCTTGAGGGCTTTAATTGTGAAATTCCAGATGCAACTTTTTAGACGTAAGCTGATGAAGATTCTCAGTCATCCAGGTCATAGTCATTCCGTAAAGTTCAAAAAATATCCACTGGACATTTCGCCATCTCTCCAGGAAGCTTTCTCAATTCAAATGTCTGGATCCGCAGTGAGTTTGAGTCTTATATAGACAAAGCCTTGTATCGCTTTCAAACATTGTTACCATTGCATGTTTCCAAGCGATACAGGGCTTTGTCTATATAAGACTCAAACTCACTGCGGATCCAGACATTTGAATTGAGAAAGCTTCCTGGAGAGGTGGCGAAATGTCTTCAAATCTTGGAAACCAAGTCCAGTGGATATTTTTTGAACTTTTACAGAACTTTTTAGACAGAGACTTTCAGACTTAGACAACTTTTATTGTATTTTGTTTAGTTAGTTTCAGACCATAAATAACATTTCCATTCCATTAAGTGCAGCAGTGATCAAATGTAAACAGTGTGGGAGAAAAAAAATGTGCAAAAATAACTCATTGATATGGAAGTTCAGATTATTATGGTGTAAATATGCAATATTTTTGGTTTGGTGTTATCAGTGTGATGCAGATTCTGTGAAATGATTTTGAGTTTTTTTTTTTTTTAAACAGTTCAGCAGTCTGATGGCAGTTAGGAAAGAAACAGTTGCAGAGTCTGCTGTGGATGCTTCGACGCCTCTTCCCAGAGGACTGCAGATGATCCTTTCTTCTCACTTTCTTCCAGTCTGAGGAGCCGCAGCCTCCACACCATACAGTGAGACAGCTGGTCAGAACGCTCTCTATGGTGCATCTGTAGAAGGTTGTGAGGATGGGTGGGGGCGGGTGGGCTCTCCTCATCCTCCACAAGAGCCTTTGTGCCTTTTAGATCAGTGAGGTGGTTTTTACAGTGCAGGTGAGATTGTCTGTGATGTGCACCCACAGAAATTTAGTGCTTCTGAGTTTTACAGACTTATATTCATAATAATTGGAGAAACTTATCTCTGCATTTAAACCATCCCTTTGGTAGAGGATGGGCTTGCATTGTGAGGCAATCGGGGGTTAAGGGTCTTGCTCAGAGACTCAGAGTGACAGTCTGTGGGAGTGGAGCTCAACTCAGAACCTAAGGATTCCAAGCCCCATGCCCTATAGGCCCATATATATATATATATATATATATATATATATATATATATATATATATAT